CTATGGCAAATTTGGTCTACAAATTTCAAGTAGAAATAATCAAATAAATGCTATGAAATGTTTCCATTTCTAAATAAGAACAATCATCTATGTTTTCCTAATGAAGCTCTTGTTCAGCACTGGCCTAGGACAGTGAGTGAGGCTTAGAAATTAGGTAGTTAGGCCTGGCGGGAACTCATACAATGTAAAGCTGAAAGATCACAATCCATACATATAAACTTGTATTCTTCAGATGAAGAAGCTTACCTAGGACACGGTGGTTAATAGGGAGCAGAACCAAATGAGAAGTTAGGGCATCACGTTCCTAAGTCAATAACCTTCCCCTGCATGACCTATTTCTACAGAGTTGGTCCCAAGGTTCCTAACACCCACTTCAAATTGCTCCCAAAGAAATGAATAAATCTAAAGATGGGGAGAGAGAAAAGGAACAGAAGCTGCTCCATTTAAGAAAAAGGAAACTTATGAAAGACAAAAAAAATCATCTCATTTATTTCACTAAAAATGGTCAGTTAGTTAAGAGCAAGGAAGTGACTTCATTACCAATGTCTGCATTTTTCATTCCCATGAAATTACTCTGATCTCTTTTTGAAATGTACTGCTCTCTGTTTGTGCCTAAAAAATGAGGTATATATATTAATAACTTTAGGTTTACTGTACATAAAATTAAGCATACTGATGAAAAATTACCTACTTAGTAAAATTTTATATAGGAAGCATTCAAAAAAAACTTTATCACTTACTTGATTCATTAACTCAACCAAACACCTATCAAATGCTGCTTAATAAATCCCTACTATAAACACTTAACACTCCAAAATAATGAGCAATTCCTTAGCACCCAGTTTCACTTTACTAGATGAGACCTATTCTTATTTACATTTCATAAAAGCATGATGGAGGTCTTTCCAATCCTCCAATCTTAGACTGGAAGAAACTGGACTCTGTTTGAATGAGTGATTGTTGGACCAGATGATTTCTAGCACTCCTTTTGCCTTCATCAGTGTATACTGTAGTCAGGTTCAGCAACAGCTGTTGCCAGAATAGGCCTTATTTCCTCCATGTGCTGCTTTGTCAAGGTACAGAACATGAAGGTGTAAATACATCTGTCTTTTGCCATTTGTAGTTCTACTGGCCTTGTGCATGTCTTGGAGTAAGACAGATGGTCCCTGACACTGCACAGGCTTCCAGGGATATATATTTCCAAAAATAAGAAGGCAGATGTGAAATATGGTAAGCACACGTTTTATCCCCTCAAGGTTTGAACTGAGGCTTCTATCTCAATTTGAATACTTAAATATAGGATCCCAGGCAATCCTTAAAAATCTCTGTGCTAGAAATACAACTTTTTATGCTTATTTTGCCTTTATGCCAAATATCTAGGACACGGAATAAATAAATGCTGATCTATCTGAGGTAGGTGTATAATTTTATTGGATACATTATCAGGTATATTGGAAGTAGTCACAGAACTTACATGGCTATAAATGAGTCACAGCTCTGTGTTCTATTTCTACATAATCTATGTTAAATACTTACTGTTAATTTTATTATTTTTTTAAATATTTTATTGTTATGTTAATCCCCATACATTCCATCATTAGTTTTAGATGTGTTAATTTTATTTTTAAAATGTTAGCAAAGGCATGGCATAGAAGCAAAGTTAAAATAAACTGGAATTTCCAGAACAAAAAGAGACCTGGAAAATGAAAAGCCCATTTGCTCACCACTCTGGTGACCTTAATATGGCAATCAAAATTCTCAGTAAATACAATACAATTTAATGGAAGTAATGCAAATTAGCTAACTGCAGATTTAGAATTGGTCATAGTAAAAAAATTTAAATAAAAATGAAACAAATATAGCCTTTAAAATCTAATGGGATGAAATCTAATGACATGAAATGTATGGGATTTGGTTCAAATCTCAGCATATATCAAAAACAGAAAATAAGGGAATATGTTTTGTTCTCATAAAACAAATACTACTTTTGGTAAGGCAAAATACATGTATTTCCATGAAAATGCTCAATTTTAAGATAATAAAAACCACAAATTGTATTCCGAAAATTCTATGACCAAATGTTGGGGTGACTCAGAGTCAAAGAATTATAAGGAAAGTCCCCTATAGCAATTTCTGGTTATAATCAACAAACTCTTCAGAAGGTGGCTTAGGGGTATGAAGTCTTGTAATCTAGCAGCAGCCAACTATAAGTTACAAACACTATTATCAAAGTGTTTATAGGTCACTGTGATCTGTGTTAATAGGAAGCAAGAGAAAGAATAGAGGGAGGAATGGGAAAAAAAGAATTGGAGGGAGGGAGGGGAAAAATAGCAGGTGGGGCAATTCGTGTGAGCTAAAGACTGGCACAAGGACTGACAACAACTACATAAAAAAAACGAATAGTGAGTTTTAGAATCTCTTCTTTTGATAACTATCCTACAGTTATAGAAGAGAATACCCTTGTCTTTAGAATTTATATGTTGAAATTTGTAGGAATAAGGGGTTACTAAGTCTACAAATTCCTTTGAAACAACTTAAGAAAAATACGGGGTGTGTGTGTGTGTTGTGTGTGTGTGTTGTGTGTGTGTGTTGTGTGTGTCGTGTGCCTGCACACACGTGGGCAGAATGAGCAAGTGTGAACGATAAGGCAAATAAGTTAGACTGTTAACATTTGGGAAATCTGGATATACAGGAATTCCTTTTACTGGCCTTGTAACTCTTTTTGTAAACTTGAATCTATGTGAACATTTTAAAAATTACAAACCAGGTATTCACTGTGGGACAAATATTATTCTCTTTAAACACTTCAATACAGGGCATGCTAAAAAGAATTCAAAAACTCAGCAAAAATAAAATGGTCTGAGAATTGAGATAAGAAGCCAAGTCAACAATGTGATATGTGTATCTTGAACTAACATTAATTTCAAAGTATGTAGCTCAAATTCACATAATTTATTAATCATTAATAAATAATTACTAAGTTGTCTATAAGGGGGCATAATATACATACTCTAGGAATCGAGGAATTTTGACTTTTTAAAAAGAAAAGGAAACACAGAATTTATCTAAGTTCATAAAGTATGGCAGCGGAAGGAGACACCAGATGATTAATAGTTTCTGCCCATCTAAGGGCAGAGAGAGAGAGTAGCAAGAGAGTGTGAAAGAGTAAGTGAGAGACTATCTTTTTATTGTGGAAAATTTCAAATATATACAAAAGTAGACTTAGTTTCCACTCCTCCCCACAACTATATTGAATTAAATTCTAACATCATAGGATTTCATACATAGAACCTCAGTCACTATTTATATATAGAGAAAAGCTTATTTGAAAAAGAGAGCTAATTCTTTGCATTATAAAAACAGCATAGCTCTTAGGTTTTAAAAACAACAAACACCAGAAACAAAGCTAGAATTAAATTCAAGAAGAACAATTTTGAGTATTCTTTCACTGAGATTCAGGAAACACACATAAAAACTCATAAGTACTTTGCAGAATTGTATAATGCTCAGTTGAATCAAGAAGGTACAATTACATACTGACTTCTATGAGTAAAAAAATATTATGACTCAAGATTTATCCAATTTTTATTTGATTCTACATCCCAAAAAGTAACATCATACAAAGAAAAAATGAGCTAATTGTAAATATAAGTTAATAACCTCTTTCTTATTCATAGATACTCCTACTTATTTTAAAATAAAGAAACTAAGAGGAAAGGGAAGTCAAAATTCTATTTAAATCACTGAACATAAAGAGTTAAAAAGCTGAAATCAATTTAAAAAGAAAGGAATATAGGCCAAATGATCTATATCATAACATGTCCAATTTGGGGCCTAGGAATGCTCTATTTTTCCTTCACCGCACCCTTAACATGCCACAAACTCAATTTTATTTCTGCATTCAGCAATAAGATCATTTTGTATACAAATACTACTCCACTACGTAGAGTGTCCACTTCTGTGCATGGTGAAATCTGGAGCTCAAAAGACTTACCCCTGAGAATGAGTATTTCTTCTCACAAAAGTGACTTCTACAAACACTTTACCACCCAGCACAAAAATATTAAGACCTTTTGATATAGCAACCAAATAATTTACTCTATTCCTTTTGTTGGAAAGACCTTGAAGACTATTTGAAGCTAGGACTGGGTTTTCTCTGGACTACCTGAATACAGAATTTAAGACAGCTGTTTCATTTTGAATTAGGCTAAACCTCAGGACTGCTTACTGACGAAATAGGTAATTTGCCGGTAGACATATATATTTTCTGGTACAAAATGGAATTTCAGAGTCATCACATGATTGATCATCTAATGATATCTTAGATTTAACACTTTATTTTCAGGAACCCAAAGCAGGGATAATTAAAAAATTTTTTTAAATAGCTAAAATAAGCACAGACACATCAAGTGAGTCATCAAATGTCTTTGAGGATGCTAATGACCAATCGTGAGTAAAGCCCAAATCTTAGGACTCTGGCTTTTGAAAACTACCCATAACACCACATTGTCCTGACACTAATGACAGATCGTTATATGTAAATTATACCACAATATAGGCGATTTTTTGACTTTTAGAAACACGGTTGTCATCTGAAGTTCTTTCCTTAGTATTTGGGCCAGTTAAAATTTGGGAGTCATTATAAATCCAGATTTATAATGGATTTTGTCCACAAAAGCAAGAAACTGACACTGTACTTTCCGAGAAAGCCGTAAGGCAGCAAGTGTAAGACTGAGAAGATGGGTCTGGTTTTGATCAGCCAATACTAATTTTCACAACTTGTCACTGCTTTGTTTTTGCTATGGATATATGGGTACATGGTTGTATTCAAGTATGTTTGTGCATGTTCTATACTTTGTACTTAATCTGCTGCCATGAAGTTTCATGTGGGCTGGAAATGAGGAGCTAATTAAACCACCCAAAGGAAATGTACGTTTCATTTTTATGTATCCAATCCTCTGAAACAGCTATTTTAAAAAGTATCAAGCCTAAGGCCTTACCCTGTTCGTTTGGTGATGGTCCCCAATGTCATTGGCTGCTTGATTTGCGCAAGAGGCATCAGTACCATCAAGCTGGGGAGAGGAGAGAGCCGGGGGTTGCCAGGGTTGTTGTTGGCAAAATTATTATAGGAGTCTTGGCTGTTTAGTTTCCCTACAAAGAGAAAAACAAAGAAAAGCATCAGCAAGGGACATCTCCTTCTCTGATGGAGTTTGCACTCACCCCACTAATCATTTAAGAAAATTATCAAAGGCAGAATTGATTTGAAAAGAATCATGGTTATATGGATGGGAAAAAAAAAAACCCAGGATACTGATAACACCAAGTGTGACTTGATTATGAACAGAGACTGTGGGAGGAATGGAGGATACAGAATAGATGTTAAATGGTTATACAAATAATTAGTATAAAATTTAATTATAATTTTATGGTGTTATGAAGAAATATAGGATAGCAAAAGAAAATAAAACAGGAAGATGTAAAGTAGTCTAGAGGAGGCATGGAGCATTTCTCTGAACAAGCTTGAGAGTAAGTGGGTAGAATATTCCAGCCACAGCAGCCTATGAAGGCTGGGAGGGTGAAAGAAATGTGAGTCATGAGAGGAGTTTCCAAAGACAGTAGCATGAGAGACACCGGATAAGACTAACAAAAGTCATAGGCAAAAACATCACCTTCTTCCCAATATCTACCACTCCCCACCATAAAATTTAAAAACATCAAATCAGGGCGCCTGGGTGGCTCAGTAGGTTAAGCGGCTGCCTTCAGCTCAGGTCATGATCCCAGGGTTCTAGGATCAAGTTCCACATGGGGCTCCCTACTCAGCAGGGAGTCTGCTTCTTCTCTTTCTGCCTCTGCCTCTCCTCCCTGCTCATGCTCTCTCTCTCTCTCTCTCTCAAATAAAATCTTTAAAAAAAAATAAAAACATCAAATCAACATTTCCTTTTATTTTATGTGGGGCATTAATATAAAAAAATAACAAGAGTCGTTATGGCTCACTAACAACTAGGAAAAACAAACTCATCTGTGAAATAAAATCTGATCCGCAGAGGGAATAATTACTCTCAGCTCACCAGGAAGCCAAACTCCTCCTATGTACTTATCTTTTCTCCCTCTCCATGGTTTTATATTTTCCAGACTATCCTATAAATGAAATCACAGAATATGGAGCTTATTGGGTCCAGCTTCTTTCCCTTGCCAATAAGCATCTGAGATTCATCCACTCTATATTTTCCCAAAAGTATCAATAGATCTTTCCTTTTTATTCTTGAGTATAATCCTATTATATGGAACAACTTCAGTTTGTTTATCTAGTCACTGGTAAAAGGACATTTGTTTCCAGCTTTGGCTATTATGAATAAGGGTGCTATAAACATTTATGTACAGGTTTTGTATGAATATAAATTTCCTTTTTGGATAAATCATCTAGGAATGGAATTGCTGGTCATAGTAAATGAATATTTGCAGAGACATCATGATTGTATGTTTTAAGGTTGTAAGAAAATGCCAGTTTGACAAAGTAGCTGAACCATTTCGCATTCTCACAAGTGAAGTATGATAATTCCAGATCTTCCAAATTCTCACCAGCATTTGGTATTGTTACTCTTTTTATTTTAGCTATTCTGGCTTTTATTTGGATTTCTCTAATGCACAATAATGTTTAACACTTTTTCTGTTCATGCATTTATTTGTCATCCATATTTCTTTTTTGATAAAGTGCTCAAATCTTTCGCCCATTTTAAAAACTGGGTCACTGGATGTTATACACAAGCAATGAAACATGGAACACTACATCAAAAACTAATGATGTACCGTATGGTGACTAACATAACATAATAAAAAAAAACTGGGTCAATATTTTTTGCTGAGATACAATTCATATGTTGTGAAAGTCATTCTTCTAAAGTGTACAATTCTGTGTTTAGTATATTCTACAGAGTAGCACAACCATGACCACTATCTAATTTCAGAACATTTTCATCACCCAAAAAGAAAGCCCATACCTATTAGCAATCACTCCTCCTTTGGCCCACCCCTCAGCCTTTGACAATCAGAATCTTCTTTCTGTTTCTATGGATTTGCCTATTCTGGATACTTCATAAACAGACTCATACAATGTGGCCTTTTGTGACTGCTTCTTTCACTTAGTATCTCTTCAAGGTTCATCCATGTTGTGCCATATATCAGTAGTTCATTCTTTTTTTATAACCAAATAGCATTCGATTGCATGGATATACCACATTTTATTTATCCATTTATCAGTTGATGAATATTTGAGTTGCTTTCACTTTTAGGCTATTATGATTAATGTATCTATGAACACAATTAAGTACACAGGTTTTTATGAAGACATGTGCTTTCAGTTTTCTTAGGTATATACACCTAGGAATGGAATTGTTAGGTCTATATTTAACATTGTGAGGAACTGCCACCCTGCGGTTGCACCAATGTATGAGGGCTCCAACTTCACATCTTCAACAGTACTTGCTATTGTCTCTTATTTTAGCCATCCTAGTGGGTATGAAGTGGTGTCTCATTGTGGTTTTGATTTGCATTTCCCTAATTACTAAGGATGTTAAGCATCTTTCTCATGTGCATTTCAGTAATTTGTGGGATCTTCCTTGGAGAAACGTCTAACCCAAAACATGTGCCCATTTAAAAACTGGATCGTCTTTTTATTGTTCAGTCATAAGCGTTAATCATATTCTCTAGATGCAAGTTCCTTGTCATATATATGATTTACAAATATTTTTCTCCCATTCCATGTGTTTTCTTCTCACTTTCTTCATGGTGTGCTTTGAAGCATAAAAGTTTTTAATTTTCATGGAGTCTACTGTGTTTTTTCTTTAGTTGCTTTTGCTTTTGTTCTCAGATCTAAGAAATCAATGCTGAATGCAGGGACACAAAGATTTATGGCTATGTTTTCTTCTAAGAGTTTTATATTTTCAGCTGTGATATTTAGGTCTCTGATCCATTTTGAATTAATTGTTATAAATGGTGTGAGGTAGGGGTTCAACATCATTTTTTTGAATGTTGGATATCTACTTCTTCCAGCACCATTTGTAGAAAAGACTATCCTTTCCCACCTCAATGGACTGTCCTGGCACCCTTGTCAAAAATCAAATGGCTACAAATATAAGGAATTATTTACAGATCTCACTCTCACATTTTAAGTTCTTTATATATTCTGGATATAAGCCTTTGGAAGATATACAATTTTCAAATATTTTCTATCACCCTGTAACTTGTCTTCTCATTCTCTTACAGATCTTTCAACAAGCAAAAGATTTTTTCCCCGATAAAGTCCACTTCATGAATTTGTTTTTTATATGTGGTGTTGAACTGATGAATTATTTGCCTAACCCCAAGTCAAAAAATTCTATCTAAAAACTTTTAAGTTTTATATTTTACATTTATATATATATGATTTATATGATACAGTTAATTTTCTGTAAGGTATGAGATGTGATTTTTTATGTAACAATGAAATGAAATGAAACAAATGAAAGCAAATAAAACAAAAATCTCCAAAGCTTAAGTGAAGTTTATCACAACTTTACAAGTTGGGGTTTAGGATTTTTTTTCTGTTTATTTTTTAATCAGTGCCCTCAAAATATTACTGGTAATGTCTATTATTCCAATATTATGATACCTGAAGCCTGAGGCAAGGCAGATTCCATGATCTCTGTAATTCTTTCTACTTAACTGATATGTTGGCCAAATGACAAATTTTGAGCTAAATTTTGTTGGGCTGAAGTGTTAGGCCAATTTGTAGTGCTTTCCTGACACAAATAGAAACCACATATAGTCACTGGGGGGAAAAAAAAGAGAGAGACCAGCGTATCAAAAGGGAGCATACTATATTCTGGAGTGGAAGCACCCACTTGGACTTTTATTATTTCTGTATTATTTGGTGTCACCACCTTGTGGCCTACAGCTACAAAATTCACGTAAGTTACAAATCTCACAGAGAGTAGGGTATGAAATATAAAGGCAGAAATTGTTATTACATTGTCAAAGTCCTCTTCAAATACAAGCCACACGGAATTAGAAATTTTAGGTCATTTTGTTTGTTTTTCTGAATTTCCATGTTTTGAATCCTGGGAATTAGGTTTCTAAACAACGTATAACTTCTAAAATAGACAGTACACAAATATCTGCCCAAATACCCACAGAACTCACTGCAGATGATACTTGAATTTTCAAAACTCTGAGAACCCCTGTTCAGTCACCTTTTTCCAAGAAAGAATAATGATTGTGAAGCATCTTTGTAACAGTAAATAATGGTTGTTCAGAGGGACTAAAGATAGAAAAAGAATAGAGAAAAATCATATTGAATTTTTTTTCTTTTTAAAAATAGCCAGTGGTTGGGGCGCCTGGGTGGCTCAGTCGTTAAGCGTCTGCCTTCGGCTCAGGTCATGATCCCAGGGTCCTGGGATCGAGTCCCACATCGGGCTCCCTGCTCAGCGGGAAGCCTGCTTCTCCCTCTCCCACTCCCCCTGCTTGTGTTCCTGCTCTCGCTATCTCTCTCTCTGTCAAATAAATAAATAAAATCTTTAAAAAAATAAAATAAAATAAAATAAAAATAAAAATAGCCAGTGGTTTGATGTCCTTCTTTAATGGGCCATTATATCCAACAAAACTTGCTGTTTCCACCTATACCTTGTTATTATCTGCAAAAATGCCAGCTAGGATTTTGATTGGGATTGCAACAAGTCTGCAGATCAGCTGAGGAACCACTGCCATGTTAACAGTATTAAGTCTTCCAAGCCAAGAACATGAGCTGTCTTTTCATTTATGTAGGTAGTCTTTCATTTCTTTGCACATTGTTTTATAGACTTCCGGGTACAAGTTTTATACGTCTTTGGTTAAATTTACTCCTATTTTTTCGATGCGACTTGTAAAAAGACTTTTCTTAATTGCACTTTTCAGATTGTTCATGGCCAATGTAGAGAAATACAATCAATTTTTGTACATTGATCTTGTACCCTAAAACTTGCTGAACCTGCTTATATCAGTTTTGTTTTTTGGGTTTTTTTTTTTGTGGATTCCTTAGGATTTTCTATACACATGATCATGTCATCCCCAGAGAAGAAAGTTTTGCTTCTTCCTTTCCAGTCCAGATGACTTCTATTTCTTTTATTGCCTAAAAGCCC